GAAGAATAGAAATCGCAACATATAGAAATTAAATCTAATACTAATTAATAAGAAGTCTAAGATATAATATATATTCCTGCATGAATATTTAAGTCTCAAGAAGAGCATGTCCTAGATAGTCATTGAATGACTTAGTAGAGAATAACACTATCTCATTGTGTATATCACATGATAGTCTCTCTTGTAGTAGAGAATATATCTCATAGAAGAGAAATGTTATTCACCAAAAATGAAAACATCCTCGAAGGAGTTAATCCATAAAGAATTTATCAGTCGATTCTTGAATAAACACCAGTAATCCCTGAAGTGAATATAGACCCGAGAGAAGGAAAATGAGGAATCCTAAACACCATGAAGGTGCCATACAAACATTCAGAAAGTGTATATTGTAAAGCTAGCAACAAAGTGTTTATATCCTCTAAATACCATAGAATGTATAAGAATAATGGTGACTTTGGCAATTGAATTATCCCCTAAATGTCAAATGTAAGACTGGATTTATTATTTAGTGGTACAATCAAAATCATGAAGATTTATAGAACATATAATTTGAAAATCCATTAAGGAAGAATTATAAGTATTTAAACTCTAGTATAAGTTTGATACACTATCTAAAAGATTTTGAATATTGTAAATTATTTACCCCATAATTCTCTGAAAGGATTTATTACCTTAAAGGAAGTGGTCATTATGCATGAAGCATATTGCTCTTATTTATACTCATGTTATAATTCATAGAAGAATTGGGAGCCATCTTTTGAAATATATAGTATTATGGTATTGCATACCATGAGTTAATCACACAATTATGAAAAATGATATTTGAACAATGAAGTTTAAACTATAGGCTTTATGATGGGGAGCATATTTGATTAAATCCACCTTGAAGGTAAACCACTAAAATTACAAATATCAAGTAGATTATATTTGTCAAAACATTAAAGTTTATACATAGATCATGAAGATCAATATCTGTTCATGAAGAATAGAATAACTTGAAAAATACATGACCAAGAAGGTTAAATGTTGTACTCTTTTTCCTTATGTGTGTTTTTACTTAAAGGTTTTTCATAAGGTTTTTAATGAAACAACATGTGCAATACAATTAACGAATGCGATGTAATCTTATCTCCAAGAACCGTTTTTTTCTACTGGGTTTTCGGATGGAGTTTTTAACGAAGTATGTGCATATCGTGGTAATCGTCCAAGGAGGAGTGTTATAAAATATACGGACTTTATCCTGGAAGGAAATGAGAAGGAGGAATCCTGATCCTAGTCCGTCTGTATGTGAGCTCTTACCAAACTCTTAGACCTTAGCAGGACTATATATATGTGGGAGCTCTATGTTGTAATTATCAATATTTAGAGAAATAAAGAATAGTCTCTCTATCTCTTGTGTCTATGTATTTTAATTTCATCTACTATATTGATTATGAGAGATGGAGAGAAAAATGTCCTAACCACTGGCAATATGTTTTATAACAATTGGACTCTGGATTCATCCCCCATGCCACTGGGGCACACTCCTCAGCACGTACTCGTAGAATTTAAAGGACAATCCGTGGACTCTTGGTTGGTCAGTCAGGATCAGGACTCGCCCTCGCGCGCAGAAATAAATGGGTTTGGCACGGAAGGGCTGCTAGCGGAAAGGAACAAATGTGTTTGCTCTTGTCAAAGTGTCAAGTACCCCCTACTTGCGCGTCACGATCTAAAGCACCACTGCCGCTGTCGCCGTCTTCCTCCACCGCTGGTCCCTCTCCCTTCCCCTCCGGCATCTTACCGGAGGCCGAAGGGAATGGGGATCCATTGTTTTCATAAATTTTTGTAATAGATCAAGTCTTTAAGGTTAGGGTCTCTCCATGTCAAATTTATTGATATTGATGATTTATCTTCTCCTCTTCCTCTCCAGCAACGGCGAAGGAGAAGGGTGGAATTGTCTTCTCCATGGCGGCTGTGATGAAGATGAGGGCGACAACTACGGCGTCAGCAGCTTCATCGGTTTGACGACATGGAGACCTTTCTTTCTGGATAGCGACATCAAGGTGGAGATAATGTCACTCCATGGAATAATTTTCTCCGGTCTCTTCTTCGTTTTGTCATGGTTAGATCTGACCACGATGGAGGACTAGAGAGAATAATTTTTAGATCAATCTCTCTCATTTTTCGGTGGCAGAAAGAAGAAGAAGGAAGACACTAGAAAGAAGAAGTTTCTCAACTCCGTCTACATGAATATTGGCCGTCGTTTGTTGGACATCTATTCTCAGGCCTTTTGCCGAGTGTTTGCTTATGCGGTCATCCATACTATAAAGCGTCGTACATGTTTGATTTTGAGATCTGGAGCTTTTCACAGCGTTGGTACAATATAGATGAAAATGTGTTTCTGGATATTTGTGTAATTCAGAGTTGTCGTAACGTATTGATGTACCCATCTATTACCTAATATATTTTTTCCTTGAAAAAAAGTGTCAAAGTACCCCCTGCCGTAGTATCGACTTTGTCAACAAAGAGGCCATTTGTTTTGCAGCTGTTGTTGAGTTGTTCAATGCAATGCCCGCACAGCGGCACAGGACGCCGTCCACGTCCACGACCACGACCACGACCACGACCACGAACCCTCCGACCGCCTCGTGCCGAGGCGATCGAGGGATTTGCTGAAGTGAAGTTGGGTAGCGACATTGTCGTTGTGCCATCTTCTGGCCAGGCCGCACAAGGTTTTCGGATCTGCTGGACAAGCACGAAATGCTCGGCCTGTTCGGGAGGTGATGATCGATGGGCCTGAAGGCATTTCCTTCAAGCCGCTGTCCGCCAGATTCTCTCTTTTTCTCAAAAGAAGAAACCATGTGTTAACGAGTCGTTTTAGATGTCATCACGCCTCACGCGATCTGATAGCATCCAAACACAATTAGCCACAAGAGTAATTGTGTAAGGTTGGGGATGCCAACGGTCGCCGGGTTTGTTGAGAAAGCAAATAGCTCGAGAAAGGAACGTGCACACCTGTAGGCAAGGTCAATGGACGGCCGCCCCCAGCTATTGACCGGCGAGCACCAGTCAACTCCTTTGTGGTATATATGGAAAGCGAGGAATGATACCCGCTTCCAGAAAAAATCATGGTCAGTTTGGCAAGTACAAAATGCAGTTGCGGCTGACATCAAAACATCTTCGCTCTGCATGGTAGACAAAGATCAACAGAAGAATGAAACGGTGCACAATCAACAAATTACCCGAAGTAATATTTTGCAAATTGTAGGAACAACAGGGCAAGAAGAGGATGCATATTCCACTGTGAGTCAGAGTCCCCATGAAGTGCAGTTACCTGCACCACCTCTTTTCAGGGTATTATTACCGGCGCTCATCCCAGGGACTAGGATCTACATTGATGCAGCTACGGCTCCAGACTCCTTACCTCAAGCTACTAGAAAAGCTGGATGATTGGGTATTTTCATCATCAACACGCATCAACCCAATCAGTCTGCTGTATATATCAAAGCAATATTCCCCCAGACCACATCAGTGCTTATGGTAGAAGCAGCAGTCTTGATGCTTGCTGTTGACATTGCCTCAGCTCTCCAAATCCGGCAACCCACTTTTTTGTCGGATAATCAACAGTTGGTGGCATTTTTCAACAAGTCGGAGCACTGCAATCCTCCATGTTGGAAGATTAAACCGTTCACGCAGAAATTCATTGATTCATGCTCCAGGCTTCATGCAAAGATCTTCAAGATCCCCAGAAAGCTTAATAACACGGCGCTCTTGCTTCACAAGCTTCAAGCACTTCTATAAACCATGAACACTCTTGTAGCATAGCTTGCTCAAATCAAAACCATGTACATGCTTGCCCTATCAGGGAAGCTCTGAATGATGTACTTGGAAAACACTTTGTTATCATTGCAGCAACATGCTGCTAATAAAATTGTTATTTATATATAAAAAAAGCCTCCTTTCCTACCCCATCTCCATGACTGCGGCAACCTGCACAGCTCCAGCAGACCGGCGTTTTTTTTTGAGTTATTATAAGCAGACCGGCCGTTTCTGCAGCTTCCTGTCCACAGCGTAATTCTCAAGTTCTTATTTGTATCGTGTTTCTATAATTTATTTATATATATGATTGTATCATCCTGTGCCTAAAGTTCGCCTCAGCTTAAAAAAATTGTTGGGTTCGCCTGGGTCGAGAAGGAAACGGGAAAAGAAATAGACCTGGCTGCGCGCAAGCAGTCTAGCACAGCGTGCGATGCAGCTGCAGCCTTGTAATGCCCCGACCCAGGAAGACGGCTAGGGCTCACTCTACACATTGAATGAATCACGCCTGCTAATTAACTCGCTTGCGTTTTCGTCCTCGCTTCGCGCAAAAGGTTCAAACCGGAGTTAACACACTCCTCCGGCCTGGTTTTTAAGTTGGTTTAACCTTTTGCGCGAAGCGAGGACGAAAGCACAAGCGAATTAATTACCAGGCGTGGTTTATTCAACGTGTAGAGTGGGCTCTAGCCGTCTTCCCAGGTCAGGACGTTACATGCCTGCAGAACAGAGTCACCACCTGTGTACGCTTTCCGTGGTCTCGGTCTCGGGCGCCCATTTGTCCGATTACGCCGTCAATGATTCCTACCGTCTTTCCAGGCTTTTTTCCCCACGGATTATTAACTTTACCCTCCTAATTTCGCTTCGTGCACGCGGTACAGCCGATGCGGCCTGCACTTGGCTGAACATGGCGCCAGTTGCCAGCATTGGCAATCGGCATCATGGCATTGGCATGCCGCACGTAGGACCCGTTTCGTCATCGCGTCCATGTAGCAATGGCATTTCTATATCCTCCATTCCTCCTCCACTAGCTAGCCTCGGATAGTAGCAAAAGGAGGCCAATAAATTAGCTAAGCAATCGGTAGCTTTTTCACGTGATCTCCCTTTCCCCTCTACATAAAATGGAACCTCCAGACGTCTGGAGTCCTCTTCAGTTACACCTGCATGCTGTGTCTCGTGGTTGAGCAAGCTGGAAAGCAGTCGCAGCCATGGCCGAGGTTCGGTATCTGTCTATCTGAACTTTTCTTATGATCCCATTTCCCATCGTTTGTATGGCAACATCTCATTTTAGGGTGTCACGAGTCTTGTGGTTAATCGTTTGACATGACAGGATGGCTGGCCTCTCGGACTTGGGACTTTGAATGCACGAGCTGGACTGCTCGGAGGTGCTAATCGATCTGGTTCATCAGCCTCCTTCGTCACGAACTTCACCTCTTCCCACTGCGCTTCTTCCTTGCCTTCGACTGATTTTGACACCGAGGTACGTCCGGATAGAAGCCATGCCCTGCTCGCTAATTCACAAATCCAATGCAGTTCATGCCACAACGGTTCCGTTGGCAATTTTGTAGCGTCGTAGGAATTACAGAGTTTTGTTTCTAGCATCTCAAAATGTAATGATCTTACGTTAATTTTACTGCCTGTTGTAGTCGGCCTGGTCCTTGCCGCGCACCAGGGGCGGCGTGACGCTGGCGAGCCTCATCGGCCTCGTGGACGCAATGGAGAGCCGGCGACGTCCGAGCGCGAGAGCGGTCAGGAGCGGCAAGCTCAGGGCCCTGCTGCTCTCGCTCTGCCTCCGGAGCCACCTGGAGAACGGCAGCGGGGCACCATCGCTTGGCCAATTCCTCGAGATGGAGAGGAGAGCGAGTGGTGGTAGCAGCCATGTCCATGGAATCTAAGCGCCTATTTGGATTGGACCTCATCGCTGCCTAGCAATCTCATGTGTCCATTTTTTATGGAATGAGACTGGATAGTGTTGTTTGACCCGGGTAAGCTAGACAGGCCACCAAACAACCTGTTCGTTTCGCTGAAATTTGACTTAGGTTGATGCTTATGCTTATGCTAATTTGTTGTGAGAGAAAAATATTGTTCGTTCACTGAAAAGTACTGTTGAAGTAGTGCTGCGGAACATGACCAACCACTCTGTGATTTTTGTTTCTATATCTATCTTATCGACGTCTAATTCATGAGTCATGTAACAACTCTCTGATGTTCGTGGTGTAAAGCCTGTGGTACTGACCCTCAAACATGAAATGCATGAACTCATGGTCCTGATCAATCCATACAGTGGCAAAGAACCCTGCAGCGTCCCACGGAATTGGACATGTTCGGTGAAGGGACTCCGGTGCACATCGGATGCCAATGTGCTGGCTGTGAAGAAGCACAACAACAGCACTCACCGGACATGTCCGGTGAAACATCCGGTGCGACCTTCGGTGCACCCAAAAGTGTAGATTTGAAATAAATTTTTCGTTTAGCTTGCACCCAACCATGTCCCAACTCAAACAAGAAGTAAATAAACATCACTTGGGACTAGTATAAGAATTCCTCACTCAAACCTCAATTTTCAAAATAATTTGTCATAGGCTTATTTAATTTTTGCAAATAGGCAATAAAAAGGGCGAGTAGTCATCACGTGGTTACTAGCAATAGGGGGTCTTAACCATTAGTAGCATCAACTGCTCCACCTATCGGTAGATGTGTCAAACTTAATTGAAAAGAAACGAGACAAAGCAACACACATGCATATGCAGTGCAATACAATAATTTAAATGTAATGCTTGTCAAGTTTGAGGCCTAGGTAAACTTCTTCACACGCTTTTGGACAGTTATCTCAACTAGGTTAGACAAACCCTAAATGCAAAGTGCCACACCCCAAAATTTCCATTTTATGATGTGACTTAGAAAACACTAAATAACAAGAAATGATTTTATTATTTTTCTAAAATTTTAATTATTTGTTGTCAATTTAGATAGTGAAATATGTCAGTTTCTAAAAATTTTAAAATTCAATTGAATTGTCTGTTGCATTTCATGCCATCGCATAATTTGTTATGGTTGAAAAAGTGAATTTAAATGTTTCTAAATGCACCTAGAGTTTGATCAAAGTGACATCTCCTACAATCTCAAGTCAAGGCTCCAAAACCCTTAAACCCTTCAGTCTCAGAAAACCCTAAACCAAACCCTGATCCTTGCTTAAACATCCTAGTCATTCGAGATTCTCAAATCATTCTTCCTTGAAACTGTAATCGAACTTCCGCTAAAACCATATAATCCTAGCCAATCCATGTTTTGTCCTTCTCTTCATTTCTTTCTTTTTGCATGCTCTAAATCATTCACAATATGAGCCAAGTTTTTACCTTCTTTTTCTCAAATACGCAAGAGCATTGCGTATCATTTGCATTAAGAAGGAAGAAGCAGTTGATGTTACAAGGGGCCAAAGCCGGCCCGGCCAAAATAGGGATAATGGATTACATGATGTTTGGAAACAAACTGCAGACGCTATGTGGATGCATTGCTAGCCAGCGTTGGTTGCTGCCAAGCTAGACAGACCTGTCGCTCCTGCTTGAGACCAGCGTTCTGCCTCTGCTCGGATGATTGAGAGGAGGTCAGCTGGTGTAACGGCAACATCTTTGAAGCAGCTCACATTTCTTTGCTTCCATACTTACCAGGACATCAGAGCAAAGAGTGAGTCGATACCCGAGCGCTAAGTGCCATTCCTGGGATATCAGTGTCGTTCCAGTATCTTCATTCTTTTCTTTTAATCAAAGTCCATCTCGTTTTGCGATGAGCCTATGTTGACCCATTCTCTCGTTTTCATCACGAATACCAACATTAACTCCTCTTTGTTTGCTAATGGACCAAACGCCTGACTCAGTCTACATTCTCTCCTTTTCATCACAAATACCAACTAGAAGCTCTACAAGGATGATCAAGAAGTTGGATAGAAAGTGTCGGGTATCGAGGGATACCCAAAGCAAGGAAGTTAGCGCATACGCTGACTTTCCCGGATAGCTCAAGACGTATTAAGGCCATGTTCGGCTTACCCCATATTCGGCTTGTTCGGCTTCTTTTTTCAGCCGGAACAATGTTTTCTCTCACAACAATTCAACCGAAACAGTGTTTTCAGCCAGTTTTATCCAAGTTTCAGACTAGCGAACGGGGCCTAAAAGGTCTTGCCCGACCCCAAGGTCGCTGTCGGTGCGGGACCCACGGGATACCTGTAACACCCCGGTGTTATGCCAGCATTTAGGCACTGCAAATCATGCACATCATGCATCATCAAGCATCCTAATCATACATGCCCAATCATAAAAATAATAACCGAAACACTGCTTCGAAACATATGAAACATGTTCGTGAAATGTCAATGTTGCATACACCTGTTTAAGAGTTATTTTGCCCTGATTATGTTTGCTAGGCTAGTAAAACATGTTTGGCTATCATGGTAAATCATCTAGAACTGTTTAGCATAATTTTTGGAGCAAGATTTGTATTTGAATTATTGCCAAATTTTGCTTTTTAAAATAATTCTCCAAAATTAGGGTTTTGAGTTAAGATTTACTTTAATTTTTGAATTCAAAATCTATCAAGAATTTGGCTTTGGTCATAAAAGCAAAGTTGTAGAGAATTACATTCTAATCAATTTTTATTTTTGGTACATTTTCAAAAGATGTCATTTTCTTGCTCAAAATGATATTTGAAAGCTGGCATTTAAAAATTTCTTGAAAATATAAATTGAAAAGGCTTCCTTCATTTCGTGGGCCGCCGCCTCGTTTCTGGCCCACGGCCGAAGCCGGCCCGGCCTGCAGCAGCGAGCCTCCCCTCCTCCATTGCCAGCCGCCTCGCCTTGGCCCAACCCAGCCCACTGCGCTTTGGCTTCTCGCTCGCTCACGCTGATGATCGCACACAAGGCGTCCCGACCATGGCGAGAGCAAGCCCGCCCAGCGTGCCATGTTCGTCGGCGCCGCCCAGCGTGTTGCAGCCGACTGCCTGCGCTCCCCCATGCGCCCGCCTACTTCTGCTGGAGCCATTGCGCTCGCCTTCACTCTCCCTCGCTGCCTTTCTTCTCCGCCCGCGACGAGCTCGCTCACTCTCGCCCTCGCCGCGCCACCGCACCCGCCGGTCAAATTCGCCTCCTCTCCTCCACCTCGGCCAGCAATCGTGCGCCAGCAGCTCCGCCTCGCTCTTGGCATGGTGCTGCAAGCAGCCGCCGATTGTTGAGCTCGAGTAGCGCCTTCTAGCGCCTCACCACCGTCGCCCGCCATGCGCGCGCGCCATGCTCGGCCGCCGTGGAAGGCACCTTCCTCCTCTTCTCCACCACCGCCTAGCTACCGCCCGCATTAAATCGACTTCTCGCGAACCGCATGCACTCGCTTCGCTTGTTCTAGCTCGGCCGGCAATGGCCGCCCTGGCCCGAGCCAAGAGCCGCACATCCGCGACGTCACGGCGCCGGCATGGCTTCGCCTCGGCCGAGCTGGGCCAAAGAGGCCATGGGCCGAGCCCCTGCCAGGCCGCCTCCCTTCCCTTCGCTCGGCCTTGCGAAGGTTGGTAGTGGATGGGCGGCTGATTCCATGGGCGGCCCGAGAGTAATAGGAGGATTCGTTTTCATTTTTTTTCTTTATTATCTGAAAATAGAAATGGTTTGGAAAATGTTTGGATACTCAAATTTGCTCCAAATCTGTTGAAATAAATTTTTCTAGGTTCCTTATCATCAGATCTACTTGAGAAAATTATTGCATGTCATTTTTGGGATACTTCTCTGTAGAACTTTATTTAATCATGGATATTGTTGATAACTTGAAAAATATGTAAAAAACCTATAGGCTTCAGAAAAATATGATTCCAAGTTTGTTAATCTTCTTATGTAATGTACTTTCTAGGAAAAATATGTGTCATGCATGTACTATAGAAAAATTATGAGGTGTAGTTCAAGTGCCTTTAATGGCTGATTTTTGTTATTTTAGCTAGAGAGCAAACTTTGTATAAAACATACATGTGATAATTTTTGTACAGTGATTGTATGCTATGAAGATCATAGGAAAAATGCTAACTCTGTTGTTTGACACTTTTCACAGTACAAAGTATTTTCATGTTCATAATAATGCCATAGCTTGTTATTTTTGTGTAGGCTAATCCACTCATTCAAATACCATGAAAATCTGCTAGTAGACTACTTAGGGTAGTACTGTGCTATGGTAATTTTTTAAGATTTTTCTAAGCAATAAAAATAGATGTTGCTATTCAAACCTATTATTAATTAGGGTTTAAGCAATTGTTGCTTTAAGTGTGATTGAGAAATTAGTAAAGCTTTGGTGTATCTTTGAAGCATTCAATACGATGTGTTGACTTAACATATTAGTAGTAGAAGAGAATGCAGTAGATAACATGTGCTCGTAGTATATGTTCTTGGATGATGTTGACTACCTTGCATTTAAACATATCCATTGTGTTCATCTCATTCGATGCACCGATTGCATAAGCACTTACACACATTGCATCATACAGGATCGCAAACCGAGAACCCAATCGTCATACCCGAGGAGCTTGAGGAGCAGCTCGAGGTGCAGCCATAGGAGGTGCCCGAAGCTGACGAGGAGGATGTTGAGGAACTTCTAGAGTGCCCCGATCAGCGCCTGAGCTCCTTCGAGAGAGGCAAGCCCCAGAGCATTTTCTCCCAGTTTGCAATTATTAATTAAATACTTTACTTTAATTGATGCATTACGTTCAGGAGTTGTTTGCAACCGTTGCTGCATTATACGTTGTTTACCTTTGTTATACTATATCCTTGTTACCCTGGTATCCGCAGTCGAGTCAATGCTTAGCTGGCTTAGACCGGTAGAAGTCAGGTGATTTCCTGTCAGCTGTGAGATATAGGTGGTTACCTGGATCTGCTTGG